GGAGATACCGAAACTGATCACAGTAACCTTCACATCCCTCCCACCCCGCTCCTCGCCGCCTTCATCACCAGTTTCATCCTCGCTTCTCTCTCTCCTTGTTGTTTTCCCTCTCAGCACTTTAATCTTAAAAGCAAGCTGCCCCTGATGAGGAAGATCAAAGCAGCCCTGCACCAAGCACAGGTCACCAACTCCATCCTCGTGATCATGGCGCACGGTGATATTATTGATTTCTCCGAGATCAATCTTGTCAACTGCTGTTATCCTCTACTGCACCAAAGAGAAGCCGGACGTGAAGATAGAAGGAGGAGGAGGAGGAAATTCCAGCGTGTTATGTAAGTTGCAAGGAGGATTTTTCACAACGTAGCACAAGTCCACAAGAACTTAGACTTTTTTTTCCCTTTCTTTTTGTCTAAATTTGTCTGTCGTGTCAGAGGGACGCTTGTGCCGATTTGGCAGGGAGAGCTTTTCTGAGAAATGAGAGAGATGAATGCTCTCTCATAGCCACGGGGAGTTGCATGACGTCAGTCGCCATTCACTGTTTGCGCTCATTTTTGTGTTTTGTCACAGACACACACACACACACATGGATGTATGAAGCAGTGTTTTTTTCCAGATGAATGCCTGCATAGATGCCTAGTTCTTAAGTAAGATAACCCTTTGGAGCAAGGCAGAGGTAGATTACATGGCTGCTGAGTCCAGAGTCACATCCAGGGATCCAGTCAATGTGGTGGGAGGGAAGGATGGAGAAGGGAAAGAGGAAGGGAGTGAGAGGGAGGGAGAGAGACAAGGAGAGGCGGAAGCTGGTGAGGGGTTTCTATTTCAAATCTCCCCGGACCCCCAAGGCACTTCCGTTCTGGCAGCATCCTCCACCAAAATGAATCATTTCCATCAAAGGAGAAGCTCTGACCATTGAGTGCTTTTCCCCACCCAAAGCAAACTCACATCACTGTCGTATCTATCTGCTGAAAAAAAAAGAAAGAAAGCCCACTCTGTCCGCTTTCAAACGACCGTCAGACACAGCGGCTTTAACGGGCTGCCAAATCAAAATCTGACAAGCAAAATGAACTAGACGTCAGCTCAGAAAAAAGGAAAAGAAAAAAGAAAAAGCTTCTGTTAATGATAGAAAACACACCTCCTTCCATTCCTGGTGGCAAACTTGTTTTTCACGCTCTTATATAACACATCTATTATGTTGCCCTGCAGAGAGGCTGCTTTAGAAATCATCTTTTCTCACACTCGGATTTCTTCAATATGGCCTTAATATTTTCATTAACCCCCCCCCCCCCCCCCGACCCCTCTCCCATTGAGCAAAACATCTAATTTTACAATGGAGGCAGACAGTATTTTTGATGCCCTACAGCCTTGCAGTGAAGTAGCTTAAACTGCTTGGCAGTGTCATGTGTGCTGCAGTGGTCCGTCTGTCTGTCAGTCACACGGATCAATAGGTGGTGCTCTTGCATGGGCTGCTTAAATCCCCCCCCCCCCCCCCCCCCATCTGCCCTATCTTCCAAAGTCGCCAGAAGTTCTACATCTTTGTGCACCCCCACCAAAACACACACACACACACACACACACACACCCTCCTTCTTTTGTGTGTGTGTGATGGTGGTGCGGGGGGTGGGGGGGTTCTTTTCCACCGTCGTGTGATTATACATTTATTAATAACAAATTGCTGACGTCATCTGACAAATAGAGGGGAGATCGCTTGTGTAGAGGTTGATGATGAGATTGGCCGTTGAATTAAAAAGAGCGAAATTATGCGCATTTAGAGGAAAGGTGGTGTTCTAGGTCTCCTTCTTTTTTGCGTGTTTTGTGCGTGTGTGTGAGAGAGAGGCAACAAAATTACAGCACCGAGGCTTGACAACGTGAAGCAGTGACACGCACACAAACACACACACACACACACACAGAAGCAGCTCTCTCCGTGCGCGCAGCCGGGGCTGTGCGTCCGAGTGCGCCAGTGAGTGTGTGTTTTGAATTCAAATGCAGCAACACACCAGAACTGCAAATGCGGAGACTGAAGAGAGGATGGCGATGATGTGTTTGGGGTAGTAGGAGGGGGGACGGAAGCCTTCACATTTTTTTTATATCCCCCCCACCTCTAAATGTAATTAACGACCTGGCTCCATCACGTATACTGCCCCCATGATAAGTATAGCTCACTTCAGAGGATATAGCGGCCGTGCCAGGTACATTTGGCAACATGAAGCGGGCGGTAATGATAATAAAGATTCACCTACCATGTTGACTTCTGAGACCATGTCTATGCTGGCTATGTCTATATTCATCCCCACAGCAACCGGGGCACCTGTGAAGGAAGGAAGGGGGTGGTGAAAAAGGAGGCATTAACACGGGATATGAATTATTCTCACCATCATGTAAATTTTAACAAATTCGTGACGCCAGTGCAGGTTCCTCTCCGAACCCCGCACCTACAGAAGGCTTGTGCATCATCAGCCCGATCAAGAAAAAAAACCCTACACGCTTGATACACAGATGAGCTTAAATGGTGTTAATTTCATTTATTTAGCAGCGTAATCAAACATTGATGAGCGGTATCGATCACGTTAAAAGCCCCCCATCATCATATGAAATATATGCACATCATCTCTCTTGGGCTAATCGGAAAGGCCTATTTGACTGTGAAGGGATAATTATGTAAATGAAAGCAGATTTTGCGATTCATTAAACATGTATCGCACGTCAGGAGGGCGTGAAAACATGACATTCCCGTTTTCAATTTGCTCGTTACCTCCGAAATCTGGCCTCAACCGAATGTCGTATCCTTTCATCAGCCTGTCCACTGTTTCTTTTACCAGAGGCATATTGCTCGGATCTTTGATATCCTTGATGCTGCGGAGAAAAGGGTGGTGTAATGCAAGAAAAGAACCACATATTAAAAAAATAGCGCATTAATGTCACGCGCCAGGCACGCGTTCACAGAGCTAAAATCGCATGCAAGACACACAGACGCAAAAAACGAGATTACCTTTGAGCCCACACAAAAGTCACTAGTAAAGAAAAAGTCAAAATCCCAAAGTGGTTTTTCCTGATCCTCCCCATCGCAACAGTTTTTGAGGCGCCTTCGGGATGCGAGTGAGGAGAGCGCACATCCAACTTACTCCAGACAGTGCAGAGGAGCCAATGAGGGGCGCATGCGTGCAGCCAGCCCAAGATCAAAGAGTGGAGACTGATGATGGTGGATGAGCAGTTTCCATTGCAGAGAAAAATATTAAAGGGACAAGTGAATGTGCGTAATGAAGAAACAAGCGTTTGTGGCAGGAGTGAAAACACCGACAACCGCGTTCGTTTAGGCTGCTTTTATTCTCCGTGCTGATTACACGGCAGATGAGTTTGTCTATTTCCTGACAAGGTCGAAGAATGGAAAAAACTGCAGAGTTTAAAATGGTCAGATTAAGTTAAGAACAACTTTATTCCCTCTGTTTTCATCTTACCGGATATATTAAGTGGTGAAAAACAGAATCAATCCATCACATGTACACGAGCCTACCTTTCCACAACTATCTTTTATGCATCGTACATACAAAAATAGGAAAAGAATACCACCATCACACATGGGTATATATCGTACTCCTCCCTGCAGTGTTTCCAGAGGACCTGCTGTACTTCTGGAAATGCAAGGGGAGCACCAAAGCAGAAATGTGGGGTGGAAAACACAAGCCCACAAGTCTTCTTCTTCTTCTTCTTTTTCAGGTTTCAGTACATTTTTGAGCCTTCAAGGAGGGATGCAGCCTCCTCTAAATTGCCTTTGATGTTGTTGTAGTGGGAGCTGTGCTTCTGTAGAGGGCAGGCTTCTGAAAGTGTTGGTTCACTGTTGCATCACCACCAGTTAAAGCCATCATAGATTATATCATCCACATCTTTTTGATGTGTTTCTTGGTTTGTGCGTGTGTGTGGGCGTCATGCATACCGTGTGTGTGTGTGTGTGTGTGTGTGTGTGTGTGTGTGTGTGTGTGTGTGTGTGTGTGTGTCGTCAGCTTCGGTCCGGGGGTCTCAGAAGTTGTCATGTGTGCCTCGGTGGGGTTTTAAAGTGGCCGAGGCCGGTGAAAGGGCGGCTCTTCAGCTACTGATCAGAACACAAGTGGGCAGTGGTCATAGCCTGTGAAATGAATAGATGTGCAGCGGGAGAATAAATGAATTTCTGATTCATTTCCTCTGTCAGATGAGAGCACAGTGAATGCTGAGAGCTCGTTCGCTGAGGCAGAGGAGGGTGAGGTGAAGCCGGCTGGATGCTGAAGGTCTCTCAGGCTGCACATGCCCTTTTCCAGGTCTTCTCAGTCTAGCTCCATAACCCTGCAACACCAGAATACAGCAGAGTGGAGGGGGGGGTGAGCAGAGTGTACAGAAGCCTCTCTGTTTCCACATTCAGAGATGCTCTCTCTGCAGTATACTGCACAGCCAAAACTGTTACCGTGCTCCCTGTCCTCTCCTTAAAAAAAAAAGAAAAAGAAAAAAGTAGCAGGCGAGAGACATGGCGAAAATATAAAGGGGGAGAGATGTGATGCAGCTGCTCTCATGCTCTCCATCTTGTCTCTCTCATTATTCTGCAGAACGTTATAAACAAAACAACCATAAAAATTCTCTGACAGGAACATGAGAAGCATGATGAGCAGATTTGCACTCCCCAGTGTTACATAACAGATCTCTCCCCCACCATCTCTCCTTCAGCCTCTCTCTGTCTTTTTGTACTGTACCTCTCTTTTTCCTTCTTGGACATGGAGCTTTGCGCTCTATAAGCGGCTCACTTATAGGTGGGAAAGTGAAGAAGAGAAGCTTGTTCGTGTGGTTGATGCACAAAGTAAACTTAGGTTTGTTGTCACTAACACAGCCACCCTCCCTCAGGTAAACCGTACTTAAAAGAAACCAGAGCGTGATGCTTACTTTCCTCTCAAGTTAGCTGAGAGTCCAGCCTGTTGTTGTATTGTAAATCTATGATGATGATGATAAAAGCCTCAGTGCTGGCATCAATGCAGCAGCAACGCCACCTAACATCATTCTCCTTTTCCTTTTTTTTTCTTTTCCTTTTTCGCCTACAGCTCCCGGGGCTGTTTCAGCATTAGAAATTATTGATGTCTTTACTGCCTAGATGAGTGTTTGACAAAAACTGAGGGTAGTTATGGTTCCACTGAAACTATTATATTAGCAAGACAGGATTGTGGCTTTTTGAGACACGGACTAAGTATGCGTGTACACGTTTTTTTTGTTTACCGTAAGATGTTTTTAACTTCATCTGCAGAATGCCGGATACCCTCCAACTCTATGTCAGCCATTTTCACTGCTTTCAGCATGACTCAGAAGGTAGGATTTAACCATTTACATTGAGATGTAAACAAGGAGAAATACATTTGAAAGGTTGTGTCTTTTTCATAAGGTTATCTTGTCTGGATAATCTTTACGAATATATTCAAAACCGCAAACCCACAGTCTACTTGTGCAGCGCTGCACCACTTTTATGTCCCCCGCTATGTTTAGATTGCTCCCCAGATCAGATGTCCTGTCCAAACCGTTTGGCATGTGTGAGTCTGTTAAGGTGCACTGTTGAAGTAAAATTTCATTTTGGGGTAGAGTGAGTGCAGATTGTGTCCTGTGGCTAAAACCCCTGCATTTTGAATCCTCTGTTAGCACAACGGCGCATGTTCTCCCTCAGACCTCTCAGGACATTGTGATCCAACCTTGTGAAAGCCCTGGCTGCGCTCTGTGGAGTCATCTGCTTAAAAACTCCTGTCGCTTGTAATTATCCACAAAATGAAGGTTAGAACTTGATTATTGAGCTCCATAAATAGCAGGAACGCTAGGAACGATGCAGGGCTGCTCAAGGAGACCATCTTGAAGGGGACTGTGGTCTAATTTAAATCAATGTCTTTTATTTATACCTGTTATTTTAAGCAGCGTGAAAAGGAAAGAAGAGAAACTCTTTTTTGAACTGGAAAATGTATTTATCATGTTAGGGCAAAAGCCAGTGGTGCCCATTTCCTCTCTGATGTACTGAAATAAAAGTGCAGCCTTTAGCAGATGTACTCAGATGTGTCTTAGTTTTGTGCTTAGTGGTGTCTGGACCAAAATGGAGCTCTCTAGCACAGATGAATAAGCTCATGCTTGGCATCACGCATTTCGTTTCCACCTTGTTTTTTTCCACGAATTATTGATGATTACTTACCTTTTAAATGTCTGGACTTCTATACACTTTGCCTTTGCCCTATTAGACATAACAAATAGACAAAAATAGATGTACCAGTGTAATTAAGAACAGGATGTTTACCTGGGCTTCTCCATTGTGTCCTTGACCAGATAGATATACCAGTAAATTAAGTTGAAGAGAGCAAAGGAAAGGGGGAAGAGGATGCGGGCATACGCATCAATAGGGCTGGTGCCGGCCAGCTGTGGGATTTGGGGAATGGCTGAGCCCTGCTGGAGAAAAATGGGCAGATGGGGAATATCTCCTGGCTCACTGCGGCTCACTGAGTGGTTTCTCCTCTTCAGGCCTTCCCGGGGGCTGCTGTCCGACTGATGGGGGGAGTAGCAGGAAAGATTTTGTGGAAAAGCGGAAAGAGGTAAAATGAGGTAAGTGTTGGTTTTGTGGTAATCACTGAAAGGGAGGGGGTGGATGTAAAAAAAAAAAGAAAAAAAGAGAGATGGGGCAGATTTTTAACCTCCAAATTTATAAATGGGAACACATGCTAACATGTTAGTGTCGTGTATGCAAGGCTGCAAGCCGTGTTTGTTTCCACAGGAGCGTTCTCGCCATGGCATGCATCTCTACATTTCTATAGGAAGCAGCAGGAAGTTTTGAGGATGCATATATGATGGCTGTGAGATCACACGGGGAGGAGTGCTGGAGCTGCTCTCTGTTCTCACACTGAAGCTATTTTTAAAGCGAGCATCTAACCATGAGATCTACACGTGAGGCAGGTCCCAGGAGGACACCGGGGTGGCTTACTGTATTAGCATAAAGCAGACAGTATATAGCTAGCCCAGAGATGAGAGTACACAACAGCCCATATTACTTTTTAATGCATGGTGTGCCCTAAGTGAGAAGAGCGAAAGAGGCAGGGGGACTACTTGGAAATGCATAGAAAAAGAGCCGTGTGTGTGACATGGTTTCTTTTTTCTGCTTCTGCAGCTGCTGACTGTCTGCTCGTCACTAACATCACTGCATCAACTAGAGACTCAGAGGCTCTGTATACCTAAAGATTCGCCATTATTAGCGCTGTAAATACACTGCGGAAAAGATGATGTAACTGAGCATTGTGTTCCTATAAAAAAAATTTTTTAAGACAACACTTATCCAGTCAACTCATGAAACTGGCTATAAAGATGTAGCCTATAGGGTATACAAGTCTCCATGTTCATAACTGGAAACTCACTGCATCTTGGCAACATATCCCTCCTTAGCAACAAAATGAATACGTGCATTCCCAGATATAGCCTTTAAAACATATAGTATACAGTTTTGCTTTATTGCTTTGCTGAAAAAATGGATTATCTCTTAAAAGATCAGGTTAATCAAAACTACATATTTAGAATTGCTCCATTACACCACTGTGAGACTTACACTACCTCTCAGCATTACGGTTACGCCGTAATGTCCATGGTTTTGAAAGAAAAGCAAATTGTTCTAATATAACAATTAATAACTGATGGAATTAGAACTATAAATCCTTGATTTAATGATTTTATTGGAATATCTATAAAAGCCTGTTTGTTCTGTTGACATTTTATGTTACCTGTTTTATGTTTATCCAATGTAAAGGTTGATTTATCACTAAAAAGAATTTTTCTCATTTACGATAACTCCACTGAGGACTGTCTGGACCTTGAGCCCCTGTGGAGTTGATTAGAGTCTCACAATCAAACTGAAAAAATAAATTTGGTCTTTTTCCAAGTGAATGAAGATTATACCACACAAGAAATTGTGCCCAAAAGAAAATTCACACAAAGGAGTGTACTACTCTCTTTCCAACCACTACAATCTGGCACTTTAATGAAGCTGCCAGTTGAGGACCTGTGAGGTGTTCGTTTCTCAGACTAAAGACTCGGCTGCTCAGATCTCCACTTCTCTTTTTTTTCAGGTTAGAAACCACGATCCTGTTCTGTGTAGGAAGTAGTACACACCAGAGGTTTTATGTCAGGGTCCCACATGAATAGCCTTCATTTCTCACATCAAGAATAATGACTGTTCTACAAAAATGTGGGGTTTTTAAAACTACAGTGTAAGCACAGGGGCTGAATTCTCACACACTCACTCACTAAATGTGTCGTCGCTTGTATTAGTGTGAGTGTAATGTTTTCAGCATTATAAACTTGCATTAGATGATGAAAGTGCCATTAGTGTCACGATTGCTGGATATGCCACCCACATGTGCATTAAAAATCATGATTAATAATTCCATTTATCAGTTTTTGTTATTTCTGATCGATTTAATGTAAAAAGTAGTTTTCTTTTAAAAGCAAGACATTTCTAATTGACCCCAAACATTTAAGCATTAGTGCTTGACAGTGACTTTTAAAACGCATTGAAATAGGTGGTTCAGATTCTTTTGTCTTTCTTAACACTATCTGGTGACTGCATTACCCACAGTAAACCCCAGCCAAACTGGCTCTTAACAGTAAATGTCGCTTGTAACCATTATCCCACAGAGCTGAGGAGCTGGCTAAAGAGGATTCATTCTGTTCTCACCCCAATGAAATTTGCTCATTTTTGAGTCATTTATCAGGCCCTCTGGTGAAAAGATCAGTAGGGTTCCCCTTTAAAGAAGTTATATACAGCTTTTCTACATTTTAATATGAAAACTGCTTACCGAAACTGTGTCATCATCATCGCTGCCGGTGGCCAGGACCTCAAGCTTCTCCTGTCTGGCTGCCTTCTTCTTCAGACGGTGGGCCTGCAAGGTGGCGAAGTAGTTCACTGCCGCAAATTCGACGAGAGCTGACGCCACAAAGGCAAAACACACAGCAATGAACCAATCCATTGCCGTGGCATAGGCTACTTTAGGTAGAGACTGGCGGGCACTGATGCTTAAGGTGGTCATGGTCAGCACTGTGGTGATGCCTGAAGGGCAGCAGAGTATTCATGAATCACACATGCAGAGGGAGATTAGATCAAACTGGGCATGAGGGAAGAGGGGGCATACCAGCAACTGTGCGTGCAGGAACAGACTCTTTGTTGATCCAAAAAGAGACTTGTGACAGTACGACAACCATGATAAGAGGGATGTAGGTCTGTATGAGGTAGTAGCCCAGCTTCCTCTGGAGGTGAAAATAGACCACCTGCACAGAGTAGTGACCTGCAAGATAAACAGCACGTGAGAAGACAGCGAGTGTGAGGGACAGAGCGTGGTCGCACAGAACGGATGCCCTTGCTTGCCCTTCAAAAGGGAATAGCAGCTGAGAGAACCAGTTATTGATGCTGCCAGGACAGGAACAGGCTGCTAAGTCTAAGGGAGCAAAAGAAAGAGGAGATAGGAAGAGAGGAGAGAAGACAGTGGGACAAAAAAAGGAAGGAAGGAAAGAGGAAGGGGGGAAGGAGCCAGTGAGGTGGGGGCTGGCGGAGAGCATGCAGTGCCACTATGTGTTTGCTGCCCTGCTCTGTCTGAACACATGCATGCAGACATTCACAGACCGAAAACGTGCTGCATCATGCACGCTCACACACACTTATTTAGACGTCCTCTGTCTCACTCTGTGTTTCTTAAATGTGTATCATCGCTACATTTTGGAGCCTGCCTCATCCTTTTCTGCTCCATTCGAGGAATGTGCTGGATTCACAGCAGGGAGGCTTTCTCCTGGTAAAAAGAGAAAATGCACACACATAAAACTCACCCCCCACCCCGCCTGAGCATCCACTGGGGTTTTACAAGGTTTTTAAGCGGTTTACTATTTATATTTTATTCCGGCACAGTTGATGTGGAGCACCCAGAATTTTGTTGTACATGTACAATGACAATAAAGGCCTATTCTATTCTATTCTATTCTATTCTATTCTATTCTATTCTATTCTATTCTATTCTATTCTATTAAGGTGCAAGGTACGCATTAGGGCCTGACCACTTAAGCATCTTAGATGGTGGCTCAAGGAAGTCTTTGCTTTTATATATCAGCCTCCTGCGGGGAGTAATGGACACTAGTGCAGGGCTTGCAGACACTCATTTGACCCCTTTCTACTCAAACATTAATAAACACTTGAGGATCTTTTAATTATGCTTGTATATGTGGCTACGGCCATAATAAGCTGCTTGTGAAAATAGGTTTGTTTTTTTTATTTTGCATTACCTGTGTTTGATTTGAATATCTCCCTGGACAAAGTCTGTCCGACAAGATCGTACTGCAGAAGACTCATTGACTCTTTGGGACAGTCCACGGAAGCTATTGGCCCCTTCCTCCAGGTAAATATAATTTCACTGCTGGTGTATGCATCTAAAACAGGAAGAAAATATCACATCAACATGCTCAAGGTTTGGTCATATTTATCAATCTGGATATTCCTGGATGTTAGCGTTGGTCTGAAATACTCACAGCTTCCAAACCGCAGAGGACAGGAGTGGCCGTCCATAGGGAAATCCATCAGGCTCATTGGACACTCTGCACTGATTGTGAGCCTGAAAGCAGGAGCTGGGATCAGTCTCTGATACATGTTCTGATTTGGTCTTGTGTTTAGCAAAGATGATCTGCTCCAACAAACAAAAAAAAACAAAGAACAAAACTACACGTTCACTGTGAAAAATCACCTCATGGTGTAAAGGACAGTCCCGTTCTGCATGATGCGGAAGAGCTTGTTGGGTGTGGTCATGTTATGGGAAATGGACTTCTTGGAGTTTCTGAAGAAAGTGTCTGGCGTCCAGATTTTGTCCACCATGAGGTTATTCAGCCGCAGGATTTCAATGGGGCCCTCGAATTTCAGCCTCTCATCAACCCACATCTGGCGGAAGAACATGTCCATGGTGTACTCCTGAGGCACAAACGTAATATTGTTTTGATACAAAAAAAACCCACAACTACAATCCCAGATTCAAGAATGAAATTTCTATCTTCGTCCATTCATCAGCACGCACAAGACCGAGGCGACATTTCAATACAGAGTGAAAGGTGAGGGGAGACGATGAGGCAGTGATGGATGCCACTCATCCCGGATAATCATTAATCAATCCACTCAGCCATCCTCGCTCTCTGACATGTTGTCATATTGATTTAGAGGCCATCAATAACGGAGTTATAGGGCTGGTCAAACAGATTAAAGCTCATTAGATGGTCTCATGGCAGAGTGCCCATAAGGCTGGTCACTGAAGCACTATTATCTCCCACAGTCAGCACATACACACTTCCTGACAGAAGTACTATCTTACCATTTCAACATCTGAAACAGGTCCAAAGCTGGTGACAAAGATGTCTGTCTTCACCTCGGTGACACCGCCTGCAACATTAATTAACAAAAGCAAAATGTACCTAAGAGCACAAAAAGTGCTGTTGCATAATGTCTTTATTTCGAAGGAGCAAGGTATTAGGACATAAAGTTTAAATTACCTCCAGAACCGGGTCGCAGTCTGTTGTCATAACCATCTAGAAGTCTGTCCAGAATGCGAGTGATGTTGTCTGAGTATATCTTTTCATTTCCCCATACATTACCTAGACTGCAGAGAGAAAATCAAACCTTAAACTCGCACGATCACTGCTTTCTGCTCCACGTTTAACTCCACAGACAGGACTTACCTCATCCAGCAGATAAAAGCAGCTAAAGTTAATGAAGGGACAGCCATCCTAGGTTTTGAATCAGGTTTCACAAGTTCATAAAATTAAAAAAAAGAAAAAGAAAAAAGAGCCACTTCAGAGCAGGATTTCTGCTTATGTGTCGCTAAAGTTACCAGTAGGTATGCATATGGACGCAGGAAACAACGAGGCAGGGAGAGTAATCTAATTAACAGATTAGAAAATCCACTCCATTTTTAGAAAAACTCCGGATTTAGTTGCTTTATTTAGTTAAAATAACTAACTAATAATAGTTAAAATAGGAGCATTAAAAACAGGAAATAAATACAACACGTGACATTTCAGTAACATTAAAAAGAAAGAAAAATCCTAGCTAAAGAGTCTATGGTGTGTCTCATAGGAGCAAGGTTTTCTAATTACTGGTTCATCCTATCAGGCAGTAGATGGCGCTGCAGCTTCCGTGATTTTCACAACCGGAAATGACACCGAGACTGAGAAGAAGAAGAAGAAGAAGAAATTTGGAGCTTGTGAAGGGAAAACACCACAGGGAGAGGTAAAATACACCAACTTAAAAACAGACCTTTAAAGTTAAAAAAAAACATATAGGTAACTGTAATAGGCACAGCAAGCCTCCAGCGTATCTTCGACCTGCTCGGTTTCACGCTGGAAGCTGGTCAGCGGAGGTTAGCCGACCCGTGAGCCGGCGTGCAGCCGTAGCATGTCGGTACACTTCGAGGAGAGGAGCGGTGTCGTCCCCTGCAAGACGCCATGGGGCTCCTGGTACCAGACCATGGATGAGGTCTTCATTGAAGTCAACGTGCCTCACGGGACCACTGCTAAAGAGGTCAAGTGTCACCTGGGGTCCAGAGACATCGAGCTGTTGGTCAAGGGAAAGGAAATATTCAAGGTAGGGCACCAAAGTGACTCCCAGGTCCCGAGAATAACCTGCATGCTGTGATCTTTATTTGCAGAAAGTAAGATAATGCGATTCCTGGTTTATCCTCCAGCTCCACCCCACTCTCACCCTCTTTTACCCAGTGACTGAACTAACCAGTAAACCCAATCCAGCCTTGTAAGACCATTCATGTAGCCCCTTTCCGTCATACTTATCACAGTTGGACCTAAAAGTCCACGTCACAGTTAATCAGCAGTGTCGCCTATTTTGATACCGTACAATGAAATCAGTCGGGCTGTTGTGTGTACGTAAAGAGTATGTAACTTCACTGTATTGTGCTGTAACGCAGCTAGACCTGTTCTGGTCATGTGCAGGTCTTTTAACTCTTCCAAGAACAGGTCCAGGTGTGCTGATATGAATAAAACGGATATTATTCATTTTTTATTTTTTTTATTTTTTTTTGCCAGGGAAAACTATTTGGAACAACTGTATCAGATGAGGCCACATGGACACTAGGTAAGTGACACACTCACAGAAATATTAAGGGAATTAATAACTATCCTTATAACTCTAACGATTGCTGTTGACTGGCTGTGTTGTGATATTCATCCATTCATGTCTTTATGTTACTTATGTTAAGTTACTGGGGGCTTTATGTTCACCCTTTGTATTATGTCATTGTTGAATTAGAAATGGTCAAATAGAAAGGAGACATTACTAAATTAGACTTTAATGAGAGCCAGCTTAATGCATTGTTTGCTTTGCTGATCATTTCCTCAGAGGATAAATGTCTTATCCGGATCATTCTGATGAAGACCAACAGAGAAGCAGGGAACTGCTGGTCCTCGCTGCTGGAGGGGGAGTATTGTGCGAATGCTTGGGTCCAAGACCAGATGCAGAGAAAACTCACTCTGGAGAGGTTTCAGCGAGAGGTGAGTTTGATTTGCTGACCTCTGTAGCACCGTTGACTCTACTGTACATCCTAATGACTGTTGTATATTGTACGCATGTAATCCTAATACATTTCTTCTACTGCACAGCTGCTACTTTTTCAGCCAGGTTAGGACCACCTTCTAAAAAGGAAACTTTTAAAGGCTTTACATACACTTACTGGTCACTTCATTAGGTACACATCTTACAACTGCCTAGGTTTGGAGCCCATTTTGCCTTCAGGGCTGCTTTAATTCTTAATGGCACAGATTCAACAAGGTGCTGGAAATATTCCTCTGAGATTTTGTTCTATGTTGACATAATAGCGTCACACAGTCGCTGCAGACTTGTCAGCATTCATGATGTGAATTTCCAGTTCTGCCACATCCCAGAGGTACTCTAATGGATTGAGATCTGGTGACCGTGGAGGCCATTTGAGACCACTGTCATGTTCAAGACACCGCTTCGAGATTGATTGATTTGAGATTTGTGACATGGTGTGTTATCTTAATGGAAACAGCCATGAGAAGATGGGTACGCTGTGGTCATGACAGGATTGACATGGTCAGCAAAAATACTCAGGTTTTGGTCTGTGGGCTCATTAGTACAAGTTGAGCATAATTTAAACACCACAGCCTATCTCCAGTATCATTAGACCATCACCACCACCAGCAGTCTGAACTTTTGATACAGGGCCACGTGGATCCATCCAAATGTTGCAGCAGAGATTGAGACTATTGTCCAATTTGAGCCCGCTTGAATCAGTTTCCTGTTCTTAGCTGACAGGATGGGTCTTCTGCTGTTGTAGTTTATCTGCTTTGAGTTTCAGCATGTTGTGTTTCCAGAGAAACTCTTTTCTACATCTTGGTTGTAACAAGTAGTAACTGAGTTATTGAAGCTCCTGCTACCTGCAGCTTGAAGCAGTCAGGGCAGTCTCCTCTGACCTGCACTATCAACGATATATTTTTTCTTACAGAGCTGCCAATAACTGGATATTTTCTCTTTTTCAAACCATTCTCCATAAACCCCACAGGTGGGTCTGTGGGGAAATTGCTGTGAGATGAGCAGTTTCTGAAATATAAATATTCCAAAAAAGTTACTTAAATGACCTTTATTCCTCGGTCTGATGCTCAGTTTGAACTTCAGCACATCACCTTGACCATGTGTGTATGGCTAACTGTATTAAGTTGCTGCCATGTGATTGGCTGATTAGATATGCAGTTGGACAGGTGTAATGAGAGTATGTTTTGGATTGTTGAAATATAGACATCTGACTGTTTTCATTCCCAATCCATTAATAATAACTCAGTCCCCAGGTTGTGATAAATCGGTTTTTCTTATAAATGAAGCAAATCCATAAATAATGAAGGGAAATAATCAAGGGAACTCTGTGATGGTCATTTCTGGGTAGGCTAAAGAGAAAAAAAATAACCATGCCACCTTAATTCTCAGAAATGCAGCTGACATGCTCTTTGAGTTGTAGGATTATCAGTAACACTTCAGCTTGAAGGAAAGATTGGAAAATGTCTTCCTCATTACGACAGAGATTTCTGATGTAATGTGCGACATTGCTAACTTGCAATTATGTGGCAGTGTGAGTCACTGACTTTTAACATATTACATATTTTGCGTAATGAAACCTGTAAGGGGTTCTGAAAGTCTGGCTGTCAGAGCTCATTCCTGAGAATGTTTTAAAGGTGATGATCTGTTAAGTTAATGAAGGCATTGCTTTCAACCTCAAAGCCCTTTATCAAGAAATCCATCCATCAGTTCATCTTCTTAACTATTTTAATTAAATTTAAATTAACAAATCAGGATGAGCTGAAGTCTCTCTGCTGATATTGTGTGAGAGGCTGACAGGTCACCAGTCTGTGGCAGGGCTAACAGTGAGACTACCAACCATTTGTGTGCACACCTGTGGCTAATTTACTATCACTAACCTAATAAGTGTCTTTAGACTTTATTAAACACTCATTGCAGTGTTACTGCTGTGATTCTGGAAATTGTTGAGATGAGCACTCAGTGATGAGTTTGTCTTCTTACATCTGTTTCTTAAACTCAGATACATCTATCCTCAGGAAATCTTAATTACAGATTAACAATCAGCAGTATGTCTTACTGACTCTTTTTTCCTTTGTTAGAATCCTGGATTTGACTTCAGCGGTGCAGAGATCTCTGGGAATTTTGCCGGTGGCGGTCCAGACTTTTCCAGCTTACAGAAGTGACCCTTACCATGATGCTAGTACATGCTTGAGGAGTTACCTCTGCCCATCATGCACAATGTGCAGAACAACAGTGGATGCATTCGGTCTACTGTGACAAGAATTTGCCTTGAGACGAACTAAAAAGCCTGGCTGTCACATCATTGGTCTCGTCCTCAAAGGACTGATTTTGTGCAAACCAGATGTGGGGAGTGGGAAGGCTCTACAAAGGAAGTTGATAACTCTCGTTATGAGAATTTTCTGACATGTTTTAATAAAAACAAAGTGCACTCAGCAATAGCTTTTCAATAAAGTTTTATTGAAAGGTACAAATACATAGGTTAATCAGATGGTGTATTCAGTCATTTTGAATTTGAGACCACATTTTGTTTTGTCACTAAAATCAAACTAAACAGGGAAACTGGCACAGAAAATGCGATATAAATTTCAACCTGAATTTCCACTGCAATGACCTTTTTTGGGGTTTTCTGAGTGCTCTCTAAAAAACTAACAACTTAACTCAGTATATTTGTGGCGCTTCACACGGTGTCCACAAATTAAGAGTTGGTGAAAACAACTCATCTGTAACCGTTGGTAACGTTTCATCTCAAACACTGATGAGCTGTAGATAACAGGATCATCACTAGCTTCATTTCCCTGGTACAAACCAGAGCTCCCTCGCCTTAACAAAAAAAAAATTCATCACCTTGGGTAGGAGTGTGCATTCAGGACAGCTTAGCAACCTAGGGTGGGAGTGAAGGACTTTGGGCCCGATCTTTTGGTTCAATTTTTTTGCTGTTCACAAAATCCCTCTCCCTCCTCTTCCACATGGTGGACTGAGGACCTAGGTGGTTCTATACTTATTAGCTTAAAACCAGCAACCCGTTCCAGGGAAACACCAAACACCGTGGTACGGATTTAAACAAGAACATACAAGACACCTGTGCAAACGGCTCAACCAAGAAAGTAAAACTTCAACCTTTCTGAGGAAGAATTACTCCTTGTCATAGGGAAAGAAAAATGTGTGTCTGATCAACATATGAATACAAACTTAAGGGATTTTAAAAAAAAAAAGAAAAAAAAAAGGGGGCATTTCCTTAAAGACATCCATCATCACAGATGAAGGTCTCTAAGGAAAATAAAGCTGGAGCTGTAAGTGGGTGACCATACTGCATGTTACATCCAGTCAGAGGACAAAGATGTAACAGTGGTAATGTTGTAATTTTTCTTTCCATGTCAAGTCACCCACTTGGACGCCCAGGTTTTAACAAGCTGACTCAGGTATGGTGGGAAGGTGAGTGATCTTGTAGTAGCTGTGCTTCAGCTGACGTGCAGTTCTTCCTGAAATAGTCCAGCGAAGTCTCTGGACGTTTGGCCTGCAGCACTTAGTGGTGGCGTACTCAGCCAAGCATTTTCCAACTAGCTCCCGCATGCAAACCAGATCCCCGTCTTTGATCTGCAGGAAAGAGGAGTCACATCTTTCTCTGCTTAACACTTGGCAAGAAGCATTAAAATTCATTAAGCTACACTGCATGGATCACCACCTTATATTAACTGTGACAAAAACACTAATATGCAATAATGTTAAAAACAAGCCATTTTGGTTTGAGTTGAGCAAAGGCTCATTTTGACAGTTTTTCCTACTCTGACCTGTATGTTGATAAGATGGACCTATTCCTAATAAGGCACACGGGTGTAGCCATGAGCACACAAGTCCCACTGACCTGTTGTTTAAACCTTCTGCCTGCTAGGGGCAACCAATCAGAAGAACGTTGGCATAAAGGGCTTGTGTCTTCTGAGGCCCAGTTTAAAATAAGGATTAGTTTGAACTGCTCGTATATATTCTTTAAAGCAAAAGGCTCAGAGCTGGACTTACATTTAGCTGCTGCTGCAGATTGCTCAAGGCCTCAGATATTTTGTCAAGGTACTCTGGGTCATGTTCATCATGGGCCTCAAAACACAGGAGAGCCAGGGCAAGCAGAGATGGCTGCACAGAAACACAAACACAGTCTCTTGTTAAAAAAAAGAAAAAAAAAAGTAGAAACTATGATAACATTTAAAAGCAAATCGACGCAGATGACCTACATACCTGAGATACAACAACAAATGAGAAGTGTACAAGACAAAAGCAGTCTGATTTTTTAATGAAAAGCGCAGAAAAGCATTGAAATAAGTCATTATTTTCAATGTGGAGAGAGTAGTTGTTTTGGCTTACCTTTATTTTGGAGAAGACAAATGAGCAGTGACAGGCTTTCAGCTGCGCCTCCAGTCTCTCAAGGCTCAGGATCTTCATGCTAAAGGGAAAAAATGCTTTTAGTGTCAAAGCAAACTGAATGTGAAGTACAGCTTACATAAATAGTGATAAAAAAGCCAACCAAAAGGATTTCTATTTTTTTTTTTTTTAAAAGGTAACGTTTGAAAAGGGAGGGGACTTGCATATTTGTTTTCTAACACCCTGTCACATGTCTAAAAGTCTACACGATTTCAAAAAGGACTGTGCCTGTTGGCTAAAATATATATATATATTTTTGGTTAGTGTTAGCTTTCAAACCAAATATGAGAAGACACATTTTAGTAGAGTAAATATAATCTCGTTGAGTCATAGCTCAGCCCTGCAGGTTGGTGTGACCGTCTGTCCTTACCTCTCAGCGTCGAGCTGCTCCAGGACGTGGCTGTGAAAGACGCGGAGAAAGCGCAGGGCCGTGGGGGCCTTCACCTTCCAGTAGAGCTTCTCCATGATGATCTTCTCCATCCTCATCATGTCAGACACTGTAAAGCGATTCTGACTGATGCGAATCAGGTCATTGGCCAGAGGCACGTTCTTCTCTTCTTCTGTGGACTTCACAGCGATGTAAAAGCAGCACAGACCAACACAAGGAAGGTGCTTTGGCTGAATCTGTAGGAGATGGGGAAATGGATATTGGAGAACGGAACAACTGCTAAGATTTTAAGAAAGTAAGCAAAATGTACTGCATTTACAAACCTTCATGACAGACAGAAATCGGTCCAGCAAACTGACAGCCAGCGAGAAGCTCTCTGAACTGAAACCGAAGAACCTGGTCAGTGAAAGCAGGTCCTTCACCTCCAGCTCCCTGAGTCGGGAAGTCATCCTGAGGCCATTGTCCTGGGCGCTTTCAATGAACCTCAAGCCACTCAGCTTTGGTTGGTATCGGCCCTCCAGATCAATCAGGGCCTTCAGCTGGGCTGCAAAGGGCTGTGCCACAGGGCCTGTTACTGTGTCAATCATCTGCACAGACATGAAAATAAAACTTAGTGATACAGTAAAAAAACAAACAAACAAAAGATACACTGGAATTAACTGTGTGACCATAAACTGTGTATAAAGTATTAACATAAGTCTCTAACATTAGTCTCTTTAATAAGGCAAGGCTCTGTCTGCTACGTAATTGAAATATTAGACTGGTGTATTTAAAGGACATCTAGTCCGAAACAAAAATGGTTAAACAAATGCAGTGAGCGTAGTTTACTAACAAGATCCTGCAACAAGCCTTCCGCTAACACATGCCCGTCACTGAACTGGACTAAACTGGACTGGACAGGAGCAATGACTGTATATAAACAGGAGGCGAAATGAGACGAACACAGAACAGGGATATGCTTCAAAAAGTTTCTCCGTTTTTAGTTAAAGCGACATTTCTGCTACTAAAAGTGTGTAAAACACGAGTTCCACAGCTCTAGTGCTAGTTTGTGAGTCCACATGTAGCCGTATCACAGCAGCAGGCCTTGTGTATGTCAGGGCAAGGACCGGCGTCATGTCGAGACATGTCCCTGCCATACACACCAAAGGAGAGCTAACGCAAAGCATGGCACAGCAAACCAAAGTGACAGTACACAGTTTAAACAATAAAGATAAGAGTGAAACAACAACATAAATCTGTAAGTACTATGTAAGTTAAACTTCATACTTCATTAGAGAAACCAGAAAATGACAAACTACTCTTTGTTGACGACGTAAACTGTTTAGCAATCAAAGCTAACGCTAGCTAAAAATCCATTTCTAAAACTGGTAGCATTTTTTTGGCTGATAGCAACACATCATTTACTGTTTAGAGCCACGAACACCACTAGATAAAAATATATATATATATATCATATAAGGAAAATGGGTTTACTTACCTTAAACAGTTACGTTGCTTTTTGTATTAAAAAAAAGAGCAGGTGAAAAAAAAAATCCACGCGCTTCAAATAAGCGGGTGAATGGAGAAATAAAACACACAAAAGTGTAAGTATGAACTTTCACTAAAGAAAGTTTTAAGCATAGGTTAGTTTCTGCCTATGCACACCCCCTACCCTTGGCGTAAGGCGATGGGGAAAAGGACAGTTAAGGCGTTAAAACAGGCATAAAACCAAGCCCATGACCAACCATGCCGATTTTCTATTGGTCCTCAACAAGTGACGTTACCAGCTCTACATTTTAATTGGATATTTAACTAGCTAGTCACATACAAGGTCCACCCCATTCATGCATTAGGGCCAATCGCACGTCAGAAGGTGGGATACGACCCAAAATAGCGTCGTAATAAAGTTGCCTCCTTTGGTATATAAATTATATTGGATTAATTTTTTTTTAATTCATTAATAAATAAATACAGATATACAAATTATATCAACATTTACACAGTAATGTCTTTAGTGGGTAGTAAAATAGATTACATTTTTAAAAGGGTGTCGAAATCATAGAAAACTATTTAAAAAAAAAGACACACACGCACACAACTTTTATAGAAAACTTTCCTCTCAAATTCATGTTTTTAAGTGTTTCCATGGTCCACATGTTAGTTTAAGGAACACACACACACACAAAAAAAAACATACATGTTGAGGGCCAAATTCAAATTCAAATTCAAATTCAAATTTTATTTGTCACGTACACAGTCATACACAGTACGATATGTAGTGAAATGCTTGGACAACTGCTCGTGACCTAAAGAAAACAAAAAAGGAAAAGGCTATGAATAAGATAGGAAATAAATATGAAAAATTAAAAAGGAATAAATTAATTAAAGGAATAAAATATAAAAATCTCTCTC